ATCCCTTCCAACTCTGTTACTCTATGATTCTTTAAGAGCAGGGGTCTTCAAACTTGGCCCTTTTATGACTTGTGGACTTCAACTCCCAGAATTCCTCAGCCAGGCACGCTGGCTGAGGAATTATGGGAGTTGAAGTCCACAAGTCATAAAGGAGCCACATTTGAAGACACCTGTGTAAGGGTGTCCTGATTGATCAGGGGGTTGGACTAGATGACCTTCCAGATTCCTTCCAACTCTTTTATTCCATGATCCTGTAAGGGTGTCCTGCTTGAGCAAGGGGTTGGACTAGATGACCTCCGAGGCCCCTTCCAGGTCTATTCTGATCGATTGATTGAGGGGAGAAGGCCGTGAAGGCTACTTGAGTTTTCCCCCTCAATCAAATGGCGAGGAGGAGAGTGTCAACTAGTCCTTGAACTCTGGCCACAAGTGAGCCCCAAATTTCTGTTGCTAAGCGACACAGCTGTCAAGTCAGTTTTGCCCCATTTTACGACCTTTTTTTGCCACGGTCGTTAAGTGAATCATCGCAGTAATCAAATGAGTCACCAGGTCGTCGTGTGAATCCGGCTTTCCCCATTTTGACTTTGCTTGCCGGAAGGTCACGTGACCCCGGGACGCTGCGACCGTCACAAATGTGAGCCGGTTACCAAGCGCCTTATTTTTGCTCACGCGACCGTGGAGATGCTGAACGGTCGTAAGTGTGAAAAACGGTCATCAGTCCCTTTTTTCGGTGCGGTGGGAACTTCGAACGGTCGCTAAACGAACGTTTGTCGATGGAGGCGTATCGGCGATGTGGGTATCGCCGTTTAATCCTGAAACACAAATATTCTCTTCTTGCTGACGTTCCGACTTTCCAGCCAAACATCCCGGGTTTAGTGGGGGGCCAGGCAGGGAAAAGATGGGGACCCTCTCCTCGTTTCTGAGTGGGGCAGGGGTCTTCATTCTCCTTCATTTATGCCACCTCTCCTGCCCCAGACAGGATTCGTTAATGTGACCCTTTTTGGTCAGAGAAGAGAGACGGGACACCTGGCCGCTACGAGAAGATGGAGACCCCCCGGGCGAGACCCAAACTTGCCAATCCAGGTGAGATTATCTTTCGGGGGGCCCTCGGAATTGGGGTGATCCGGATGGGGAAGGGTACTGAGCTGGTGGGGAGGGGTGAGCATCTGACAAACTCTCTGAAAGGCAAACGCACGACCGGGATGGAAGCCCCTCCTGGCTGGATTACAAATTGTTAGCCTCGCCTGTCCTCGATGTACAGCCACGACTGAGCCCGACATTTACCTTGGTACGTGAAGCACATTTTGCCCCTTTGTACGACCTCCCTTGCCACCGTTGTTAAGCGAATCCCCGCAGTTATTAAGTTAGTAACCCGGTGGTTAAGCGAATCCAGCTTCCCCGTCGACTTTGCTCGTCAGAAAGTCGCAAAAGGGGAAGATTCGCGTGATCTCCGGGACGCTGCGACCCTCATAAATACGAGTCAGTTGCCAAGGGCCCGAGTTTCGATCCCGTGACCGAGGGGATGGTGCGACCGTCGTTAAGTGTGAAGAGTGGTCCCCAGTCGCGTTTTTCGGTGCCGTTCACGAAACGAACCGTTGAAAAGTCGAGGACTGTCTGCATCTCCCTGATCGGTCTTTTGCTCACTGGTTCTCGGCATCTACGGCGCCCCTAAGTGGAACGGTCCCCTCTGATGGACAGCAGAGACCCCTTCCCCTGGGGAGAAAGGTCCTGGGGTCCCTGGGGGGGGTCTCTTTGGAATGATCAGCGGGAAAGCCTCCCCGTAGAGCAGGGGTGTCAAACTGCCGGCCCACAAGCCGGACGCATCATGAGAAAATCGCGCCCACCCCACTGCCGGCAATGGGGAAAGAGTTCCGATACGGCGCGCGGCGTCACGTGACGTCGCGCGAGTTTGACATGTCTGCTGTAGAGGGAGGAGGGCTGTGCCCCTCCCGTCTCGTAATATATATGTGTGTGTATATGGGGGAGGGGTCTTCCTGCCTGTGTGCGAGCACCCTTTTGTTCGGGAGGTGGTATGGGACCCCTCTTCGGGCGCCACGCTATGCCGCCATTCCCCTTCCCTTCCCCTTGGTAGAGATTTTTACCGAGTCTTTTTAGAGGAGGGGGCTTCCTACTCTGGCAGACCCTCCTTTGTATTCGAGCAGACACCCCAGCCCCGATTTGCTCGGGGGGAGGTAGAGGAGTAAAGGGGGAGGGGTCCCGGCTGCCTGGCAAGAGGTGGGAGACTTCTTACTCCTGATTGTCCAGCGGTATCAAAGACCCATTTCCGTGTTTTGCTGGGGGCTGGTTGAGTCTCGGCCTCCCAACTTCCGGGGTGGGGTAACGAGGGTCCTAACTGTGCCCCCCCTTGCCTTGACTGTGGCCCCTTCCCTCCAGGGTCCAAAGTGGCAGTGAAAGAGGAGCCGGGGGAGGAGTTGCGAATCGGCCGTCCCCGAGACCCGGCCGAGGGAGAGACGTTATCGCCTTCAGGTAAGGCCGGACAGTGAAAGCAATTAGCCCGTGGAACAGCTTGCCACCAGAAGACGCAGGCGCTCCAGTACTGGAGGTCTTCACGAAAAGATTGGATGGCCATTGGTCTGGAATGGTGTAAGTTCTCCTGCTCAAGCAGGGGGGTTGGACTAGATGACCTCCCAAGTCTACGATTCTGTAATTTGGGAAGGGTCTCTTGCTTGAGTAGAGGGTTCGACTAGATGAACTCCGCGGTCCCTTCCATCTCTGTGATTCTCCTGGATCATATAGGAGAGCCTCACAGAATCATAGAATCACAGAGCAGGAAGGGATCTTGGAGGTCATCTAGCCGAACCCCCTACTCAAAGCATGCGATTACAGAATCGCAGTGGGAAGGGACCTCGGAGGTCATCTAGTCCAAGCCCCCGGCTCAAGCAGGAGACAGAATTACAGAATCACAGAATAACAAAAGTTGGAAGGGACCTCGGAGGTTATCTAGCCCGACCTCCTCCCTGAGCAGGAGACCCTTACAGAAACATAGTATAACAGGATTGGAGGGGACTTTAGAGGTCATCTAGTCAAACCCTCATACTCAAAAAAGAGACCCTTCCAGAAGGATAGAATGACAGAGCTGGAAGGGACCTCGGAGGTCATCTAGTCCAGCCCCCTGCTCGAGCAGGAGACCCTGACAGAATCATAGAATGACAGAGCTGGAAGGGACCTTGGAGGTCTTCTAGTCCAGCCCCCTACTCAAGCAGGAGACCCTTACAGAATCATAGAATAACAAAGCTAGAAGGGACCTCGGAGGTCTTCTAGTCCAATACGATTTCTGACCAATGGCTGTCCAATCTCTTCTTGCAAGCCGTCTTGTACGGGGAGCAGGAAGGGGGTTCACGAAAGACCCCAGACAGGGACCCCGATGCTCCAGGCGGGGTCCCCACCCTCGGGGGAAGCCCGGCGCCTGCCTCCGAGGGGGAAGCTACAATCGCACTATTGTGAATTTGGTTCCAGGGATCCGGCCAGAGGTTGTGATCAAGGACGAATCGGAGGATCCGTCGTACCGCGCGGGTCTCCGGGAAGCGAGTGACGAGGACGCCAGCACCGATTCCTGTGAGTTGGCCGGTCTCGGAGCTTGGTATAGCTTGGTGGGGGGGAGGTGGTGGTCTTTTCCCCAGTGGGACTCCAATCCCATTGTCCCCTCCCCTAGTGACCTACCTTTCTACCCCCATCTCCAGCTGACACCAAGCCTGACGTTATTGTGAAGATGGAACCGGAGGAGGAAGAGGAGAAGGCGAAGGAGGAGGAGGAGGGGGTCCTTGGCTGCTCTCCCCCTCCTAGGCCTGCCCCCCTGGGTGAGTTTGACCCGCTTTGGGCGACCCAGCATGGGTCTTGTGAGTTACCTTTACTTTGTAAGTAGTTACACTTTGTCCTCGACTTAGTCACTCGGGTAATTCTTCTCTCTTCTCTGCCAGCCGGCTGCTTGGAGCCGAGTCCCAGCGTACCGCGGGGACAGTTGAGCCAGGAGCCGTGCGGAAAGCGCGTGGAAGGCGCTCCTTTCCGGGACTGCCCCAAGACGAACCGCAGCAGGGTTCAGGACGCGGCCCCAGCACCCGCCTCCGATCCTGGACGATCCCCCGCTGCTGTGGAAAAGCCGACCGGAATCGTCTCAGGTGTGACCGAGGCCTACCGCCGCCCCGAGCGGCCCTTCGCCTGCAGCGTGTGCGGGAAGCGCTTCCCGCACCGCGGCAACCTGGCGACCCACCTGCGGGTCCACACGGGGGAGAGGCCCTTCCCCTGCGCCGAGTGCGGGAAGCGCTTCAGCCAGAAGGGAGACCTGAGGCGCCACTTGCGGGTCCACACGGGGGAGAAGCCCTTCGCCTGCCCCGTCTGTGGCAAGCGCTTCTGCTCCAAGCAGACCTTCGTCCTCCACCAGCGCACCCACACCGGCGAGAGGCCCTTCTCCTGCCCTGAGTGCGGGAAGCACTTCAACCACAAGGCCAACTTCCTCACCCACCAGAGGATCCACCGGGGCGAGCGGCCGTTTGTCTGCGGCGAGTGCGGCAAGGGCTTCTGCGCCCGGAAGACCTTCCTCCTCCACCAGAAGATCCACGGGGGCGAGCGGCCCTTTGCCTGCCCCGACTGCGGGAAGAGCTTCAGCCGGAACGGGGACCTGACCCGCCACCAGCGTATCCACACCGGCGAGCGGCCCTTCGCCTGCGCTGACTGCGGGAAGAGCTTCAGCCACAATGGGGAGCTGATCAAGCACCGGCGCATCCACACGGGTGAGAAGCCCTTCTCCTGCCCCGAGTGCGGGAAGAGCTTCAACCGCAAGGGTACCCTGGTCACCCACCAGCGCATCCACACCGGCGAGCGGCCCTTCACCTGTGGCGAGTGCGGCAAGACCTTCAACCTGAAGACCACCCTGATGAAACACCGGCGCATCCACACCGGCGAACGGCCCTTCGCCTGCCTGGAGTGCGGGAAGAGCTTCAAATACAAGGGGAACCTGCGGACCCACCAGCTGACGCACACGGTGGAACGGGTGTACCCGTGCACCGAATGCGGCCTCGTCTTCGGCCAGCGGAAGCAGCTGAAGGGGCACCAGGCGGCTCACGCGGGGGACCGCCTGCGGCCCTGCTACGGGCAGGACAGCAAGGACGGGGACCCCTTCCTCCCGGTGCACCCCCTCCTCCTCTCCTGCGCCCCGCTTCCCGTGCCTCTGGAGACCCTGACCAAGTTCAAGCCGGAAGTCGGCTGCCAAGGCCTCGGACTTCGGGACCCCGACCCTTAAACTTGCTCGAGGGGGGAAGGATATCTTTTCGTTTCTCTGCGGGACACCGTTTTTGCGGCGAACATGGCAGCAACCTGGTGAGACGCCGGCAGGGAAGGACGCCGGCGTGATGGATGTTCGGGCGTAGTCTGGCAGCCCCCTCCACCAAAAGGAGGAGACCAAGGGCAGTTCAGGGTGGACGGTCTCCAAATTCTTAGCTTAGCAAACCGGGCGCTTCCTAGGGCAGGGGTCCCCGATCTTTCGGACGCCAGGGACCGCTTTCGCAGAGAGAGGTTTTCCCGTAGACCGGAGGGTGCGCGGTTTCACCTGCTGCCTGCATCCCGCTGACGGGGCTTTGCTTGTTCGTGCGGACCGGATGCTGGCGTGCCGCGGCCCGCTACCGGTCCACGGGCCGGGGGTTGGGGACCCCTGTCCTAGGGGATAGTGAATGGGGCTTAGGCGTAGGAGGAGGAGGCAGGCAGGAGGCCCCGAAAGTAATGCGGATCGGTAGAAGCCACCTCAAAGGACGGTCGTAAAGGAGGGAGTAGGTGACTTCCCCTCCCAGGGTGCACCTGGTCAACCAGCCAAAGGCAATAAAGCTGCGCGGTTCAAGAGGAAATGGCTGACCTTAGTCTTTTGGGGGGAGGGCGAGGAGGAAGAGGAGGAGGAGGTGACGGCTCCACTGGGAGGGGGCTCTTGTGATCGGTGGGAGGGGCAGAAGCCGACATTATATCTGGAAAGAGGAAGGACCCAACGGACCAGGGTTGGGTTAGTTAGTCAAAGGCTTGGCGGGCCTGGGGGAGGGGAGGGGGGGGAGAGGAAGCGGGCCATGTGAGGGGTGGGCTGAGTGAGTGAGTGACTGACTGATTGATTGCCTGTCTGATTGATTGTTTGACTGACTGATTGATTGATTGCTTAACTGGCTGGCTGGCTGGCTGACTGATTAACTGACAATGACTGACTGATTTATTGATTAACTGACTGATGGATTGATTGATTAACTGGCTGGCTTGCTGATTGATTGATTGACTGGCTGGTTGGATGACATTGATTGATTGATTGATTGGCTGGCTGGCTGGCTGGGTGACTGATTGATTGATTGATTAACTGACACTGACTGATTTATTGATTAACTGACTGATTGATTGATTAACTGGCTGGCTTGATTGATTGATTGATTGATTGATTAACTGATTGGCTGGCTCGCTGACTGATTAACTGATTGGCTGGCTGGCTGGCTGATTGATTAACTGGCTGACTGGCTGGCTGACTGACTGATTAATTGATTGATTGATTGATTGATTGATTAAATGACGATTGTCTGATTTATTGATTAACTGACTGATTGATTAATTAATTGATTAACTGGCTGGCTCGCTGACTGATTGATTAACTGATTGGCTGGTTGGATGACATTGATTGATTGGCTGGCTGGCTGGGTGACTGATTGATTGATTAATTGACTGGCTGGCTGGCTGATTGATTGATTAACTGACAATGACTGACTGATTTATTGATTAACTGACTGATTAACTGGCTGTCTGGCTGATTGATTGATTAACTGATTGGCTGGCTGGATGACATTGATTGATTGATTGGCTGGCTGGGTGACTGACTGATTGACTGACTGACATAGATTGATTGATTGATTGATTGATTGATTGATTGATTAACTGACTGATTGACTGCCTGCCTGCCTGATTGATTAATTGACTAATTCACTGACTGACTGATTGGCTGGCAGACTGGCTGACCGACTGATTAATTGATTGATTAATTAATTAACTGACTGAATGACTGATTGGTTGGCTGGCTGGCTGGCTGATTGATTGATTGACTGACTGACTGATTGACTGGCTGATTGATTGATTCATTGATTGACTGGCTGGCTGGATGACATTGATTGATTGATTGACTGGCTGGCTGGCTGACTGGCTGGCTGGCTGACTGATTGATTGATTGATTGATTGATTAACTCTGATTGACTGCCTGCCTGCCTGATTGATTGATTAAGTGACTGATTCACAGACTGACTGACTGACAGATTGACGGGCTGACTGCACACCACTCACACAACTCAAGCTGCGCCTGCAGGCATGTACGTTGCCGGCTCAACGCTCGAGCGAGTCGAGCTGCGTGTGCACGGCACACCCGTGTGCCAGCCCGCCTGTCGCATGGCTCCGTTGTGAAGAGGCCTCATCCCGGGGGTCGCCCCCAGAGGTTGTGGATGCTCCCATCACTGGAGGCTTTTCAAACGAGATGGGACAGCCCTCTGTCTGAAATGGCGTAGCGTCTCCTGTCTGAGCCAGGGGGTTGGTCTAGATGACCTCTGAGGTCCCTTCCAACTCTGTCCTGTGATTCTGTGAGGGTCTCCTGCTCGAGCAGGGGGTTGGACTAGATGACCTCTGACATCCCTTCCAGCCCTGTTATTCTCTGACTCTGTAAGGGTCTCCTGCTTGAGCAGGGGGTTGGACTAGATGACCTCCAAGACCCCTTCCATCTCTGTCCTTCTATGACTCTGTAAGGGTCTCCTGCTTGAGCAGGGGGTTGGTCTAGATGACCTCCGAGGCCCCTTCCCACTCTGTCCTATGATTCTGCTTGAGCAAGGGGTTGGACTGGATGACCTCCAGGGTCCCTTCCAACTCTATGATTCTGTAATTCTGGAAGGGTCTCTTGCTCAAGCAAGGGGGTTGGAGTGGATGACCTCCGAGGTCCCTTCCAACTCTGTCCTTCTGTGATTCTGTCAGGGTCTCCTGCTCGAGCAGGGGGCTGGACTAGGTGACCTCCCAGGTCCCTTCCAACTCTCTTATTCCATGATTCTATTAGGGTCTCCTGCTGGAGCAGGGGGTTGGACTGGATGACGTCCGGGGTTCCTTCCAACTCTGTCCTTCTATGATTCTGTAAGGTTCTCCTGCTTAAGCAGGGGGTCGGACTAGATGACCTCCGAGGTCCCTTCCAACTCTGTCCTTCTGTTCATCAATCCAGGTGCTTAAGAGTCTCTGGCTGAGTTGGAGCTGCATAGATCTACGGAGGGCATAAACTCTGCCCCCTCTTCCCCTTTTGCCCCTGGCCCAAGAATGCTGTTTGGAAACATCTCAAGCTTCTAGGACACATGAAGGAGCAGGAGGAGATGGATTTTCCCCAGCCTTTCCCCTCTTCCTCCCACCACAGGTCACCAGGTGAACGTCAGCCGGTATTTCTCCTTAAGGTGGCTGCAGCTAGGGGGGAGGAGGAGGAGGAGGGAAAAAAGGAGGAGGAGGAGGAGGAGGA